AGGGGAGTATCCCTGTTTTCCTCCTATAGTCTGCAAAAGTCCTAATAGTCCGATATAATCCTTATTATATTTCTTGTTATTCTTCTTAGGTTGCCAAGTTTTGTGTAACCTTAAATATGTATTGCAATACTCATGAGAAGTCACACATTTTTTTTAAAAATAATAAATTAAGAATGACTGACTTTCTTTAAGTCAAAAACGATGAAATAATTAGAAATTCCATTAGAAATGGTCCACAATCATGATCATGCTTGAGTCATTATTCTCTTGGGGTTCAAACAACTTAACAAACTATGGAAGAAGACATTTTAAACTTTTCACCAATTGTCATGTTTCGTGGGACATCCTGTATCTACATACATACAGTGAATACCAGATATATGAATACATAGCAAGAGTTTTTTATAATGTCGTATTACATATTTAAGAAAAACAAGTTTAATATCAATATATCAATTGCATTATTATTGACGGTCTATGTATTCATATATCTGGGATTCACTGTATGTAATTACAAATCATATTTACATACAAAGCTATACATTTTTATGTAATAATATTCAATATACACTTTACAGTGATAACCAGAAAACTCTAAAATAAGAAGATGACTTTACAGCAATACTTAAGTGTATTGATGTTACAATGCAAAATTTTTTATTTTACTCTTTTTAGATCACTAATTAAGTGAAATGGGCCTGTTTACACGGTACAATTGTTGTTTCCCATGCTTATCGGGCTATTTAATGTCATATTTTGAGTCTCTAAGTCGTCTTCCTATTTTTTTAATAAAAAATAGGCTTGATTAAAATTTTCTGCTGACAAATTATTCTACCAATTAAAAAGTCGATTTGTTTGTTTTGCAGGTTGAAAAAATATAAGGATTTGATAATAAGAGTTTGAGGTAAGTAATTAGTTACTTTTTTTTAAAACCTCATCAGCCCTATGGGAAAAGATTTTGGCCAGAAAGAATATAAAGGATTCTGAATTTTAAAACTTTAAAAATTCACTAAACTAGGAAATAGGAGAGACATTTAGTTTTATAAATAAATAAAAAATAGTCTTAGAGAATATAAAACTTAAGGCCAAACAAGAAACAAGCACCAGAAACAAGGGTCCTCTAAAAGCTTGTATTTTCTTTAGCATTATATCATCAATGAGACCTTCAAGCACCAATATATATATTAACTAACTTTAAATGCATAAACTTAATATAGGTCCTGTATAAAGAACAACTGACTTGTATTTATCTCATTGACCTTAGAGAATTAACTCATTCTAATAGACCACAAAAGACAAAGATTACTGAAATCTCAGGGAATATTGTAAGTAAGTAAGTAAGTAAGTAAGTAAGTAATAATAAAAAACATACAAAATTAAGCGTTTAAGGAGAAAATATTTGAAAACCTCCAAAATCATAAAAAATAGAAATAAAAAGAAGAGGAAAGGAAATCAAAAGGAAAGTTACATATTTTTGTTTACATTATATCTAATATTAACCAGTGTTGGATTGTTAGTATTTTTCCACGATGAACTAACAACTTTCAGAGTGTATTTTTATTAAGGAAACCTAAATAATTTTTAACATCTTCAAGATCATCATGGTTGTTTTTTATTCAATTTAGAAATAATAAAGTCGTGATATCTTTGTCTAAATCTGCATGTAATCCACCAAAAAGGGTGAAAGAAGATAGAATAGGAAAAGGATGGAATAGTTTAAGCGATGGGAAAAAACTGTGTGGCGTATTGATAAACATACACAAATGAAAATGGGTTTCATTAGAAAAAAATAGACAATTAATCTTTGGTTTGGAAAGAAATAAGGAGATAGATTGAAAAAAGTACATAATTAAGCAAAACATGCAAAAAGGGGCAAAACTTAGGATTAGTGCAAAGTTTTCAATTTAAGAACTTAATTTCAGTAAATCATTTCCTGTTTTAATTTAAAAGAATTGAGATTTCATATTTCCGAAGAAGAGAGTTCAAGATTTTTGTGTTCTTGCTTTCTGGATCACTAGCAGACATGATCTTTCTGTTGAGTGTTGTCCAGACTTTGTGCACCTTGTCCTTTTTCTTTGCTTCAACTCTCAGGACAGCCAACAATTCAGAATTCCTTCAAGTGAGATCACTGTTGATTTGGATAGTTCCTCTCTGGTTGATTTTTTTCATTGGACAGTTGGTAATCTTTTGTAATAAACCACTTGTGCTTAGCAGCATCCACAGAGCTTAAAGCAGGGTAGCTGAACTTGATAACCTTGGCTCAAACTGGTCTTGATAGAAAAACTAGGATAATGAGTAGTGGACCTGTCTGACTACGTCTTGAACCAGCTGGACATGTTCAATAACTTTATGATACTCTAGTACTCTGGCTTAGTTCCCCTTTCAGCTTGGCAAATGCCAAATATGGTTGGATTGCTTCATCTTTGTATTCCTTTGGTACATGCAACCCATTGATATGGATACTGAAGTTCCTCTGATGTTGTTGCATGTTGTTATTCTTGTCTGCTAACTCTTTGATTTTTCATCCTTCTTGGTGTTCAGTGTTTCGAGAGCTTGAGTTCGATCCAAGAGTGATAATGTAATCCTTGTTTTCTTTATCAGAAGCATCTAGATTTTCAATGGATTTTTGCATCTGACGAATTTCTCCCAAGATGTGGTTCTTAAACTCCCTCCTGGCATCTTTGATTTATTCTATAATGGTAATTCTGAGTTCATCCTTGAGTTTACTAAAATCAGCCTTTGTGATAGCAATCTTGAAAGTTTGTAGATTCCTTCACTGACAGATATAAAGTAGATTCCCCACTGTACACAGCTGTTTTATGTTACATCCATAGGAAAGGAATAGTGTAAGCAATGGGAAACACTATCTGGCATATTGATAAACATGCTCAAATAGGAATGGGTTTCATTAGAAAAAATAGACAATTAATCTTTGGGTTGGAAAGAAATCAGGAGAGAAATTGAAAAAAGTACAGAATTTTACTTTGTAAGAAAACACTGAATAATTTGATTCTGTTGTTTCATTTGCAATCATATTAACTATCTGAAAATATGAAAATAAATACAATATATTTTAAAATATGCCCCTGAAATAAAACTCTTAAAAAATGTTTATTTTGCAATTTTTTTGTTAACACCTAGATTAAATGTGGGTATACACTACAGTTATGGAAAATATAACTAAAATTAAAAGTGTAGATCATAACTCAGACAGCTATTTATTAAAAAGTATAAAAGAAAGTGTAATTATCTCAATCATGGAAAATACTTATACTGCACAGTTTTTAATTTTTATATTAAATCTGAAGCTAATACTAACTTATGTTTATCTACCTATATATAAATTTGGCTTGTCTGCTTGTTTGTATCAAATAAAAGTTAAAACGGCTGATTTTTTTTGCAGCAACTGACAAGAAGATTCAGAGTTGGTCAAAACTGAAAATCTTTTAAAATAAGCAGGGAAACCAACATTTTTGTTTATTTGAGTTCATTTACAATAAGTTTACCTTTCCTATCAGTTTATGTATTCTATTAGTTTAAATTTCCTATTAGGTTAAATTTCCTTTTAGGTTATCTTACCTATTAGACAACATTTAAGGGTAATCAATTTTGGTCTTTTTTGGAAATCAGCTAACTGCCAGAAGAGATTTATAGCAAACGTATTGCAGAGGCTTTCTGCCAAATTTCAGTTTTCTAAGTTGAAAAAGTTTTAAAATGTTTAAATAAAATAAGTTTTACATGCACAACCATTTTTTGTTGTTGAAAATTTCATGCTATATCTCATTTTCTTAGAAGTTCTAGGCTGAATGAGAAAACCAAATTCAATTTTAAAAAATTCCTAAAACAAAGAAAACAAAAAAAAGTCTGAACCTTTTCAATTTTTTGTATTTTTTAAAATGGTTTTGGAATCTGAATTGAGCTTAACAAAGTATATGATGTTAAACATGAAATTTTCAAACGATATTTTATTTTGTTATTGTAGTAATTTTTTAATTTAGCTTTTTTAACTTATTGTATACTTTGGATCTGTGGTGACTGGTGGGAGGTCCAAAATTGGAAATGTCCCCTTCTGCATTTTTGATTAGTTTACATTTCCTATTAGTTTATATTTCCAATTAGTTTACATTTCCTAAAAGGTTACATTTCCTATAAGGTCAAATTTTTGGGTTACATTTTATATAAGGTTACATTTTAAATTAGGTTACATTTTATATAAGATTACATTTTATACAAGGTTACATATCCAATAAGTTAACATTTCCCATTATTTAAACTTTTCTTTTAGGTTAATTTTCCTATTAGGTAATATTTCGTTTTAGGTTACATTTTTAAAACGGTTACATTTCATATTAGGTTTCGTTAACGGAACTTTGCCCAGCCCTACATGTTGGGAGGTGGAAGAATTTCTGATAAATCTTAATCTATTTCAGGAATAGCTTCTGCTTTAGATTGGCCAATAGATGAAAAATATTTATTTAACTCATTGGCAATTAAAACTTGATCTGAGTTAATTAAGTTTTCCTTCTTAACGGACTCAATTTTAATTTAACTCTGATTAGGCTTGTTTCCCATCCCTGGAATATTTTTTAATGTTTCCCACATCTTTTTAAGATTTGTTTTTGGCAACCTATTAATTTTGCTAAAATAAACTTTCTTGATTTGCCTTATTTTCTTACATAAATGTTTCTGCATACACTAAACTTGATCTTATCTTCAGGCTTTTTGTTTAGCAGAAAAATAGCATATCATGATAGTTTTTGTGCTCTCAATGAAAGTAGTTCCTTGGACATGAATTGGTTTAGGGGTACCTTACTTGCATTTTTATTTTTATTTTTTTTTTGTAAAGGAAAATGATTTTTAATATTCATGAAAATGTTTGATCAAATTCTATTGCCGCCATCTCTGCAGTTTGAGAAAAAAATACATTATTTCAATTTTCTATTTCAAGTGCAGTTTTTAAAGATTTTCATGGGATTTTTGAGATTTTGAATCGTTTTTTATTCAATTTAGAAATAATAAAGTTGTAATATATTTGTCAAAATATGCATTTAATCCACCAAAAAGGGTTGAGAGAAGATAGAAAAGGAAGAGAAAGGAATAGTGTAAGCAATGGGAAACACTATCTGGCATATTGATAAACATGCTCAAATAGGAATGGGTTTCATTAGAAAAAATAGACAATTAATCTTTGGGTTGGAAAGAAATCAGGAGAGAAATTGAAAAAAGTACAGAATATCTTAAGTTTACATATTTATCAAAACGCAAAAAAAGGGCAATGCTTAGGATTAGTGCAAAGATTTCAATATAAGAACTTAATTTCAGTAAAACATTTACCAGTATTGATTTGATAGAATTAAGATTTAATATTTCTGAAATAGAGAGTTCATGATTTTTGTGTTCTTGCTTTCTGGATCACTAGCAGACATGATCTTTCTGTTGAGTATTGTCCAGACTTTTTGCACCAATTCAGAATTCCTTCTAGTGACGTCACCATAATTTGGATAGTTCCTCTCTGGTTGATTTTTTTCATTGGACAGATGGTAATCTTTTGTAATAAACCACTTGTGCTTAGCAGCATCCAGAGGACTTAAAGCAGGGTATTTGAACTTTATAACCTTGGGTCAAATGGGTCTTTATAGAAAACGTAGGATAATGACTGGTGGACCTGTTTGACTACGTCTTGAACCAGCTGGAGATGAACATGATGAAAAGAAATTCCCATGTTCGATATATTTAACATACTCTGGTACTAGGCTTAGTTCTCTTTTCAGCTTGACAAATTCTAAAGTTGGTTGGATTAGTTGGGTATACACATATTTCAGGAATGCTTCATTTTGGTATTCCTTTGGTACATGCAACCCCTTGATACGGATACTGAAGTTCCTCTGATGTTGTTGCATATTGTTCATCTCATCTATTAATTCTTTGATTTTTCATCCTTCTAGGTGTTCAGTGTTTTGAGAGCTTGAATTCGATCCAAGAGTGATAATGTCATCCTTGTTTCCTTTATCAGAAGCATCTAGATCTTTAATGGATTTTTGCATCTGACAAATTTCTCCCAATATGTGGTTTTTAAACTCCCTCATGGCATCTTTGATTTCTTCTATAATGGTAATTCTGAGTTCATCCTTGAGTTTACTAAAATCAGCCTTTGTGATAGCCATCTTGAAAGTTCGTAGATTCCTTCACTGACAGATATAAAGTAGATTCCCCACTGTACACAGATGTTTTATGTTACATCCATAGGGAGTAGAGAAGGGGGTAAGGGGGGGGGCAAACCTAATCTGCTCTTGTCCCCTGCCGAGAACTATAACTCAAAAATGTGTTTTTCCCAAATTTATTATTCACAAAATTACACGTATTTAGCTAGATTTTTGGAATCTTTCTGTCTTTAATGTTGTTGATAGTGCTTTAAAGATTATGTTTTCTCATTTTTCTCACCAAACATTAATTAAGTCATTAGAAACCCATATCACATGTTAGAGAGGTTATCTGTGATGTGCATTCTAATGCACATTCAACACTACACGCTCTCTTATTATCTGGATTTTTATAATCCCAATATTTAGTTACGGATTCCCAAACATGCTGTATGAGGTAATTTTGAGATCATTGCTGCTGTACTTTAATACAGTGACGACTAACCAACAAAAATTCCTCCATCATCTACATATTCAGCCACTCTTCTTACACCAGGGGGCAGCTCTTCTAGTCGTTCCAAGTTTGCAGGATCAAGTTGCTGCATTGGTAGAGATACCAAAAGTTTTGAGTGAAACGGTATCACAGCATTGTTTCTCTTACACAAGATGAGGTGCTGTAGAAGAGGAAATGTAAACTCATGCTCCTTTAATGTGTACATCACCAATAAGACAATATAGAAAATGATGATTTGATACTGTACAATTTCAGTTCCAAAGAAGGAATCCAAAAGAGAAAAGAAGTTAACCACAAGGAGGACAAATAAAAAGGACGTCAAGCCAACAAACCCAACTGTCACAGTGGTTATATGGAAGTTAAGGCACCAATCCTGATCTTCTTCACGGAAATTGTATCTTACAATGAATTGGCTGATGAGAAAAACTAAGAAGTAAATGACTGTAAGAAAAATGTTCATGTAGACAACATAATCAATTTCTTTTGTTGGAGCACAGTTGCTGGGATATGACTCAATGAGGTGAACTGTGCCTAAAAGCACAAAAAATTAAACTTAAAATGAACCTAATTTCTTGATTTGAATCTAGATTACATACCTCTGTTTATGTCGACCCAGAGGAAAGGCAGAAAAAGCACTGTTTCAAGAATTCCAGATATGAACACACATCGTTGTTCCATCTTCTCTTGATCAAAGGACATGATCCAATCATTCTTAAACATCATGCTTGATAATTTAAATACATGGGAATATTGATTGTACTGATGTTAAACGTACCTTATATATCAGCAACAGTCTAAAAGTAGAAATGGAAAGGAACAAATGGAATGTCATGAAGACACAGATGATGATTGTGTATCTGACAACTTTGCAGAGGAGAAGAGGTAGAGGGAAAACCACACTCCTCCACATGTTTAGGATACACTAAAAATATATATTGGTATAAGGTTTTAAGTCTAAAGCCACATTTTTTCAATTCAAAATCATCCTGACTTACCAGGATGATGATGGAAGCAGTTAGGATTTTCACAACTCTAATGTTCAGGAACACATTGATGTTTAGTCTGTGCTCTGGTAGACTGTTTTTGCAGGCATGGAGAACCCAAGATAGAAAGTTTCCAAGGAGAAGAAGAAGGACTAGGGTGAAGAATACTCCAGGATGTTCACCAAGGTTGAATTCTACTTTGTAAGAAAACACTGAATAATTTGATTCTGTTGTTTCATTTGCAATCATATTAACTATCTGAAAATATTAAAATAAATACAATATATTTTAAAATATGCCCCTGAAATAAAACTCTTAAAAAATGTTTATTTTGCAATTTTTTTGTTAACACCTAGATTAAATGTGGGTATACACTACAGTTATGGAAAATATAACTATGATTAAAAGTGTAGATCATATTTCATAGTGCTATTTATTGAAAAGTATAAAAGAAAGTGTAATTATCTCAATAATGGAAAATACTTATACTGCACAGTTTTTAATTTTAGTATTAAATCTGAAGCTAATACTAACTTATGTTTATCTACCTATATAATAATTTTGGTTTATTGGAGTTCATTTCCAATAAGTTTACCTTTCCTATCAGTTTATGTATTCTATTGGTTTACATTTCCTATTAGGTTAACTTTCCTTTTAGGTTATCTTACCAATTAGACAACATTTAAGGGTGATCAATTTTGGTCTTTTTTGGAAATCAGCTAACTGCCACCAGAGATCTATAGCAAACATATTGAATAGACTTTCTGCCAAATTTCAGTTTTCTAAGTTGAAAAAGTTTTAAAATAAAAATCAAATAAATTTTACATGCACAACAAATTTTTTGTTGTTGAAAATTTCATGCTTTATCTCATTTTCTTAGAAGTTCTAGGCTGAATGAGAAAATTAATTTCAAGTTTGAAAAATTCCTAAATCTTAAAAAAAACTAAAAAAACTTGATTTTTTGCTTGTTATTAGTCTTAACCTTTTCAATTTTTGTATTTTTAAAATGGTTTTCAAATCTGAATTGTGCATAAAAGGAGTTGAGTTTTTGCCACAAACTCAAATTTTCAAACCCCTATATCTTTGCAACCTGATGTTGTAAACCTATGATATTTCAAACTCAGAATATTTGATCTAACAGAAATCATAGTTTGAAAGATCTAAGGTCTGCAACATTTGGTTCCATAGATATTGTGATTAGAAAATCAGCGTTTGTGGCAAAGACTCAATTCCTTTTTAAGTAAACGATGTTAAACATGAAATTTTCAAACAATATTTTATTTTGTTTATGTAGTGATTTTTTAGTTTAGCTGTTTTACCCTATCTTTTTAACTTAGAAGGCTAGAATTTGTTCACTATTCAAAATGTTTACTTTGGATCGTTGGTTGGAGGTTCAATTGATCAAAATGGATCACCCCTGTCCACTACTGCATTTTTAATTAGTTTACATTTCCTAACAGGATACATTTCCTATGAAATCAAATTTTCTAAAAGGCTATATTTCCTTTTAGATTACATTTTATATAAGGTTACATTTTATATTAGGTTACATTTTTATATAAGGTTACATATCCAATAAGTTCACATTTCCTATTGTTTAAACTTTTCTTTTAGGTTAATTTTCCTATTAGGTAATATTTTGTTTTAGGTTACATTTTTAAAACGGTTACATTTCATATTAGGTTACAATTACATTAATGGTTTTTGGGGCTTGTTAACAGACTCTGCCATTAATGTTCAAAAACCTCCATTTTGTTAATAGAACTTTGCCCAGACCTACATGTTGGGAGATGGAAGAAATTCTGATAAATCTTAATCTATTTCAGGAATAGCTTCTACTTTAGATTGGCCAATAGATGAAAAATATTTATTGAACTCATTGGCAATTAAAACTTGATCTGAGATAATTAAGTTTTCCTTCTTAACGGACTCAATTTTAATTTAACTATGATTAGGCTTGTTTCCCTTCCCTGGAATATTTTTTAATGTTTCCCACATCTTCTTAAGATTTTGTTTTTGGCAACCTATTAATTTACTAAAATAAACTTTCTTGATTTGCCTTATTTTCTTACATAAATGTATCTGCATACACTAAACTTGATCTTATCTTCAGGCTTTTTATTTAGCAGAAAAATAGTATATAATGATAGTTTTTGTACTCATAATGAAAGTAGTTCCTTTGACATAAATTGGTTTAGGGGTACCTTACTTGCATTTTTATTTTTATTTTTTTTTGTAAAGGAAAATGATTTTTATTATTCATGAAAATGTTTGATCAAATTCTATTGGCGCCATCTCTGCAGTTTGAGAAAAAAATACATTATTCCAATTTTCTATTTCAAGTGCAGTTTTTAAAGGTTTTCATGGGATTTTTGAGATTTTGAAATGAATTTTCGTTGTGTTCTAAATCAAGAATAATTGGTAGAAATATTGTATTCTGTTCTGAAATTGATTGGATATTTTGGAAAATGTTTTTATCTTTTTGGTTATCATTGTTATAATATGGTCTAGAAGTGCAAAACTTTCTATATTTACAGATCACGAGCCCACAAAGTTTAAAGGGAAATGTTCTATTAAATTCTTTTGTCACCATCTCTGCAGCTTCAGATAAAAGACATTATTCCAATTTTCTTTTTTAAGGTGCAATTTTTAAAGATTTTATATTATTATCTTTCATGGTCCTTTTGAGATTTTGAAATGAATTTTTGTTGTGTTTTAAATCAAGAATAATTGGTAGAAATATTGTATTATGGTCTGAAATTAATTGGATATTTTGGAAAATGTTTGGGTTCTACAAACTTTCAAAATTCCATGTTTTGTGCAGCGTTCCTTTTTCTTTCCTCACCCAGCATAGTATAGTCATCATTCAACAATCTAGAAACCTGCTGAGATAGCACATATTAAAATCTAGAAAACTTGCAAGGCTTATAAACTTATAATTTCAGGATTGTTCATGGATTCAGTGTCAGCTACTGAGATATTGAATTTAAAAACATAAAATGAGCTAAACTTCCTTGCAACAAACCAGAAATATCAGACAGACTATATCTAACAGCAATTATTTAGGAAATGTCAAAAATAAATGATGAGTTTCTGTTTCCCAATTGAAATTTTTGGGGTCCTGGGATCCGTCTACTTCCCCCCCCCCTCCTTCCAGAGGGAGGGTCCCGGGCCTCCAAGAATCCCAAAGTGGGAAAAATTGGAATACTGTAATACTATAATTAAAATAATTTTGTATACATATTTTGTAATTATCTTTTATAAAAACTTTTTGAAAATAAAAAAAATTGTTAAAAATAATGTAAAAAATCAGTGGTGTAAGAAAAATCTTTACTTGGGATGTTTAAAAAGATGAAAATTTCCCTGTATGATAATTGAAGGACTGCAGTATGGTTTTAATTTAATTATATTGGCGTACTAAGCCTAAGGGTGTCAGAAAAGATATTGGCTAAAACGTCCTATAAAATCTTTAATTTTTGATAAAACTTTTTGTTCTGGATGATTGAATTAATATCTATCTAAAACTTTCTTAAACCGGCATATTTATTCTGAATTCATTTTTGTAAGAGTTTAAGTCAAAAAATGTTTTGATAAATATTGCTTTATATCGAATATTTAGTACTTAAATAAAAGCATTTCTTGGTATCACTTCACTCTAGTTTTGCATTATCTTCATTCACGTAAAACAGTCAAAAATAGATTTTGTTTATGGTTTAAAACTAAACAGCTGATGATGCATTGGAGGGAGGGATTGCAAAACACCAATTTTCAAATTCCCAAATCTGCATATGGAACGTGATTGTAACAAGGTATACAGAGTACTTCAGGGTACAGGGTGCTACAATATACTGCAAGGTACTGGGCTTTACTACTGGGGCACACTGGGGGAGGGGGTACAGGGGGGTAATAAAAATGAAAAATTATTTTTTTTAATATATAAGTCATGTACACTCAAAATTCAAATAATGGTTTATTTCAGCTTATTGAACTAGTAACTAAGTTTTTGCAACAAACTCAATTTTTCTAATCCCTATATCTTTGAATCCTGAAACAGTACGAAAATAGGGTTCCCAGAGATAAGGGTAAATCGTTTCAATTTTCGCCAAATATTTTGCATTAATTTCGGGGGGTGGGATGCAAATTTTTTGCGAAAAAAATACAAAATAATAATAATAATGGTATAATAAAATTTCCAATACTGAGCTCTCAGAGCAGAGAATTTTGCAAGTTTTTTTGAGCAATTAATTGTTGCAGCTACAACACGAGGTGGGGAGTGCAGAAGTACTCAATGAGTAATCACCGCCACCCAAACGGCATGCACGCTCCAATTGATTGATAATCTCCAATTTTCCACCTCAATTGGTAATCAGACAAAAATGCGTGACATTAAATTGTTTATTTCTTAGAAATAAGACCATATTAATGGCCCTATGGTGCAGTACAATACTGATAAAGCTTTTTTTATTGCTTCTTAGTATGGCACATGAAGCGCTAGAAAAAAGTTAGAAATATTAGATCCGATCCGCTGATTTAATGACTGTATTAAATAATTGGAGTTAGGATGCTAAAAGGTCGGGCTGCCTGTTTACTAAAAATGATTTTATCCCACCCAAAACTGATTAAATGCATAGTAAGAACATAAAATTTTGCAAAATCAGTCTCATCCCACCCACTTGTAGTGAAAATGAAGTATTAAGTCCACTAATAATGGGTTAAAGTTTCATCTCAAAATTGGTTACCAGAAAACCAGAAAATAGGAAGATGAATTTTAGTCTCAACTTATTACTTTAAATAGTCCAATAAGCATTATAACCATTTCACTATAGCAGTAATTTAATAAAATTCTACAACTTTCGATTTAAATTTTTAATTTTATAGAAGCTCTCAATTAACAGCTTCTCTGTGTTTGTAATAAATATCAGGTAACATAATATTCTATAAACCTGAAGTAAAGTACATATGGATATAATACATGCAGGAATAACTGAAATGAAGAAATCAAGCATTGATCCTCAAAAAAAATCTCCGAGTAGATATCAAGGTCAAGCGTTTGGAATTATGCGAATCTGCAACACATAAGTTCCCATAGCTCTGTTTAGAAATAAAATAAATTCTTAATTCATGAATATTGGTAAAAAAACACAATGACAATAAAATAATATGAAGAAAACTGAAAAGATAAATGTTCCTTCTGGACTGAGGTTAGAACTAAGAATATGTTTATTTATATACCTGCGGAGAAAATTCTTCTCTTTTCTCCGTCA